GGTAAATAATTTTCCTTTTTCCTTTGCTCTCCTGGGGGGCATTTTAATGAATAATGCTTCTCAAGTAGTTTATAAGTATTCCCTGAGAGATAAGTAGAATATTAAACTCATAGCAGGTGGGCCATTAAGGAAACATCACAGTCCCAAGGTTTCACAGACTTTTCTGGAAAGTTGTGAAGGCCACAGTTGGGAATACAGTACTCAGAGCAGCATTTAGTATGTATAGATACAGCTTCATAAGATTAAGTTTGGACAGTTCCTTCAATGTATGAGATTTTTTTTTAATGGGTATAGGAAGGGTTTATTACTTGTTTTGTGGCATATTTTATACAACTCAGCAAAAGTGTTATTAATTAATTCAATTAAAAAACAATATATTGTTGTTACCTCTCCACTTCCCATTACCTGTAAATCCAATTCACAAACTACCTAGCCCTTGACTAAGAGATTTTTTTTTTGGTAATTGATATTATTACAATATGATCTTCAAAATATAACATGTTCTCATATATTGTTATAATTTACCTATGAAAATTTAATTATTGCTATAGTTTCTTTGATTTGCTTCAAAGAGCCCACCATTTTTAAACAAAAGCCTTTCATAGCAAAAAAATTCCTTACTGCCACAGCTCCACCTACTGGTAGACCATTATGGGAGCAAACTAGTCGCGGCTCAACTTTGACCCAGGTTTTGGAGCATTTTTCTGAATTTTTGTTTTATGAAGCTCCAACTTCACTGCTGTGTGTGTGTGTGTGTGTGTGTGTGTGTGTGTGTGTTATTGTGTGAAGTGGATCTAATCCAGGGCCTCACAAATGCCAAGCATTGAACTATATCCATCCTTGTCACTCTCCCTAACTACTGTCTTGCTATGGCATAAAGTCAGAAAGTGTAATGATTAAAAAAATTAAATATATATATATATATGTGTATATATTTATGTTCTTATTCTTACTATTACCTTAAATTGGCCTTGCCTTCACCTACTTTGCTTTTCTCTGTCCTATAATTGCAGCAAGGGTTCCAGATCGTGGGGGTAAGCGTTTGGATCTGGCGAAAATGACTTTGGGAGCTTCCAAAGGTCCTGAAAAAATGGAAAAAGAATCCCTACTTAACACTATATTTGATCTTGGCCCAAGGGACAGGAAGTAAAATCCAAAACTAGGTTAAGGAGATTGTCATTTTTTTTTTTTTTTTGAGATTGTCATTCTTGAAGATGCTGCCGCCCTACTTCCTGCCAAACACTGTTTTCTAACAGTATGAGAGTGGGTAACCAATGCAGATTCTTACCCCTTGGCACAAGGAGTGTTTGGGAGCAATAAAGCATAGGACTTTATTCTACCATGAAAAGAAAAAGGTCATAGGACACTAGGGCAATCGTGTCAAGAGCTTTACTTATTTTTAACTTCTTTACTGACATTCACCAGGACTCCCACCAACTATATAATGTATAAAGGAAAGAATAGCAAAAATTCTACTGAGAACTACTAGGCAAATAATTTCACTTGAAAAATTAAAGTGACTCCAGGTCCTGAGAGTATAAAGCCCCACTGGGTTTACTTCACATAAAGGTAAGATACTTGCTCTTATCACAGTGACAGAGTGGAGTGGGCAGGCACAGTCACTGGAGTGCTGCTGGACTTTCCTCATGCGAAGAGCACAAAGCTATAGCACACTTCACCATAATGTTTAATGATAAACATTAAACAGACACTTGCCTCTTACTTCCTGTAAATGAAATCCATCACTGATTTTCAAGATGTGGTAAGATCTCTTCCACAAACTATAGACCAACAAGATCTTTAAAAAAAGGGAGTAGAGTGCAGGAAGAGGCCATATCACAGGACACAGTGCTTCTATAGGAGCCTCGGGGCAGGCAGTGCTGAGGGCAGCTGGTGTGGCTTTAGACCTCTACATTAATGGTAGCTGACATGATTAAATCAGCATGAAAGATATGTCAGTTATCTAGTCTGCTGTTCTCTGCTATTTTAGCTCACCATTAGCACTTTGGAACTCAAGAAGAACGCCATGTTTATAAAGAAAGGCAATGACTTTGGCCTTGGGCCAACAGCCTCACTCCAGCTTCCTTCTCAAGTTTCCCAATCTGCTGACTCTATCCCTTTTCTTCCATAGACAACTTAAGACTATACAGTTTGAGGTAGGAAATTCAAGGAGGGTAGCAGACATGGGAGCATTCCAGGCACTATCTCATCCAATTCTCATAATAAAAAGAATATACTTAGCCCACCATTAGGGGGGAAGGACTGCACTGTCTTTCAATAGTGCCCTGTGATAAATTACTACCTTAATCAGACTGCTTGAAAAATGAAATCACACATCTTACAATCAGGTTAGCCAAATGCAGACAGGTTAAGGGGCCAGGAAACAGACACTGTATTAATGGACTCATTAAGATCATGTTTAACCAAATGAGTTTACTGGAAGCAGGGGCTAAGTATTTTTCTAAGGCAGTTTAGGGATTCCTACACAGGAACAAACTTCCTGAGACCTCAATGGAGTGTTTTGCCTTCTTTGGCGTTAAAGAAAAATGTTACTTCTGGTAACCTAACTTCTTTTCCACAGGATACCTTTCTGGTCCTTCAGGATAACTTAAAACCAGTTGTACTGCAGGAAACACAGAATATGAGGTTAAAACACCAGAGTGCCGAGAGCCACTTACTAGTTAGCCACTTACTAGTTTGATGGGATCAACTGCAAATGCTACAAACGTAAAAAAAAATTATTGAAAAGTATAGGAAATGCCTGACCCACAAAATATGCTCATCAGTGTTTAACTAAGAAACTCCAGGGAAGTCACAGAGGAGAACAAATTCAAGAGTATTTTGACACTAAGAGTCACTGGTACAAAGCAGTAAGTAACAGGCTACCTGAACAAGGATGTTACCTTAAGGTGGAATATGAGGGGACATAAGAAGTATAACTTCTCTTTGTTCTATAGCTCTATGCTGATACCACATACAGTATGACCATGGCAAAATCTTCCACATAATGCCACTAAGGGTCAGTAAACATGAATTGATGGTCAGATAGCTGCAAAGTATGACCCAGTGTCACAATGCTAACTTCTTCAGCTCACTTCAGTACTGATCAGGCCAATGATAAGCATATGAAGTAGCCTGGGTTTCCTGGAGCTTCTGGGCTTTGTAAACTCTGCTGAAGCAATCCAGGGAGGTGAAGGGGCCTATCAGGTAGAACACCTTCATCCAGAATCTCACAGACATCCAGATCCATACTTCTTTTTTTATCACAGTGCCAGGTAGAAATTTTACTTCCTTAAAAGTGACTCCCGTGTTCTGAGAGCTGGGTATGTTGCGCAGAGGCTGAACACTTGCCTACCATTCACGAGTTCCTGGGTTCAATCCCCAGCACTGCCACCACAGTGGCAACAGCAACAACGAAAATACTGCCACATTCTTGTAACTTTTTTTTAGAGGAAGGGACATGAATATATACATGTTATTTGTTGAATTCAGCTCTAAAATTATAAAGGAGAACAAACCTCGTATCAGAAATATTGTTACCTGACCTTCAGGTAGGCACAGATCCCTTCTATTCTATCCCTTCATTTAATCCTCACAATAAGCCAATGAGATAATGCACTTATTCCAGTGATGCTGTCAAGCAAATTTACTTCTCAGAAATGTAAGCATTTTCAAGTGTATCAGGTCAGCTCTTCACCACATTCTCCACATGGACTTCTCAATGGCTCCTTACTGCTAAGATAACAGGCAAATTCCTTACATGGCTCATAAACTGATCCTGCTGCTGCACAATCTTTCTCTTGCCACTGCCTGCTCATGCCCTCCCTAGTCCCAGATACTCTGACAGGTGGGAGCCTGCAGAACACAGCTCATATGCATGTCTCTGGCTTTTGCACTCCTCATACCTTCTTCCTGGGACTCCTTTCATCTTACACCTTCTCCCTCCTGATTGACTTGCCCACACTCAAGTCTTGGCTTGGATGTCTCTTCCTCTATGAAATCCTCCCCAATCCTAAAAGACCCCAGTTCCACTGGAGTATAAATGCCACCTGACCATTTACTAGCTATGAGTCTTTCAGACACATTTCATAATGTGTGCTTTTATTTCTTCAGCGATAAAATGAGGAACACAGTTTCTACAGTACATGTCTGTATAGTAATCCATGAGCTATTACCTGGAAAGCCTTCACCACTGAACCTGACATAAGGCAATTGTCCAGTGTGGTCTATTGTCATTCCATGTATCTATCCTTAGTACACAAATGACCTCTGTTCATCGGTACCCACTTCCCATTTATGCTCCCATACCTATCTCCTTGAGTTCATAAGCTCCCTGAGCTAAGATTATCCTGTTCATTCCACAGGTTACCTTCTCCACATAGGTACTCAATAACCAATATTTGTTGACACGAATCAAAGCAATCTTCTTCCATTTACAATTAGAGTATTTTTATGAGTTACTGTGGAGAGAAAATTATGGGTTCTCGAACCCTGCAGCCTCACTGAGATGTATGCCTCTACATCGAGAGCTTTGGGCTGCTCAAAAGACCACAGCATTAGCAGGACAAACTTCAATCAATACCAGACTCCAGCTCTGTATCCACAGCCTCTCAAATGTCTGAGCCTCTTTCTTCCTGTGATGGGAAGAGATACCCACCTCAAGGGGCTGTTTTGGGAATTATGAGAGGGACCCAACATACAGAAATTCTGCAGAAACAGTGGAATACCAAATACCAGTCAAGTACAAGGCACTTGCACTAAATGCTGAAGTTCTGATAGCAGCTCACTAGACAGAAAGGTTTCACTTATCACAAGTTAGTTCCAGAGAATGCCTCCCCCAGGCTATCACATTATTTTAAAGGAAGATGTAAATGCCCAGGTGCCAATGCTTGAAGAGTGTGGCTGTTCTTTGAACCAGAGCTCTCACCACAGGGAGGAGGGAAGGGGCTAGGGTCACCTTCCCAGCTGTTCCAAGTGGAACAGAGCTGTTAGCCACTAACCTGTGGAGCTGGTGGTGGGCATGAAGGCTGCAGGATTAAGGCTGCTTTGGAGTCCATTCAGCTGCCCTTCTGTTGAGGACCCTCTGAAAAACAAAGGAGCTTGGTCAGATCTGCAGGTGGAAAGACAAGGAGATCAAAGGTGAGCTCAAGGACAGACCTCCATGGCTCTGCCTCGTTTTGGGGTTCCTTCTCTCCAAATGCATTCCCTTGCTCTTATCAAGACTTTGTTCAAATGTAACTTATTAGATGATTTCTGTGACCAACCAATAAGATGAACTACTACATACTTTGGATTTGACTTTCCTCCTCCACGGAATATAGCCTCAAGAAAGCGTAGGCTCTGGTCACTGCTTTGTCTCTACCCACAGAACAAGTACTCAATAAGCAATTTTTTGGTGGACAGACACATGTAATTCCTGGTGTTGACACCTTCAAAAAATACACCAAGTTTCATGTAGAGCAGTAGTTCTCAATGGGGTAAGGGTGAAAGGACCCAGAGTTCAGGGCCCCACAACCAACCAACCAACCAAAAAAAAAAAGTGGTTTTGCTATCAATCTAATATTTTTTTTTGTTGTGTTCAAAGTCCTACCATATCCTTGAGGGCTGTCTAGTATTGCCTGCCACAGTGGCTGTTATTTTGGGTTGGACCTGTCTGCCTGCCCACCACTTCTCTCTTTGTATACACACTTTACCCTCAAGACTTTGGTGCTTGCCTTTACTGCATGCATGAAGTACTCTTCCATGCCTGGTCTCTATCTGCTTTGCTCACCAACTTTCCTCTAGGTCATTTTCATCCCCACAATCCTTCCTCTCTGCACACTGCTTGGGTTTTCTACTTCATTCCATTTTTAGCTTGCTATTTTTTTTAAAGGCAGGATCTTGCATTATGGCTCAGGTAGGCCTCAACTTATTCTGTAATCCAGGCTGCCCTCAAATTTGCACTCCTCCAGCCTCAACCTCCTAAGTGCTGGGACAGCAGGCGTGCACCACCATGGCCTAGCTCTATCTGAGAGCTTTTGCTAACTCTTCACATGATGCACTCTGCTTTTAAGTTCTGCTAAGAAAAATCATTGTTTTCTAATAAAGTGTTATTTTCTTTCTTGTTGAATCTTTTCCACAATGCTTTCTTTTAATCTACTTTCAATATCTGCTTATCCTTATGGGAGTTTACATGAAGGGTATATATACAGTACAAATACAGTACAAAAAAGTAAGGAGATGGGAAATATCCAGCAATTATATTATCATTTCAACATATCAGCAGGTAGAGATGTGAAAAAAGATGTTCAACTCAGTAACCCAAACATGATTCAGTAAATGGAGATCCATCATCCCACACTCTCACGTGCCCCACCACTGACTCATATATAGCAGGGTGATTTCTGCTTAGGAGTGACTGCTAGCACCTATTACTCATGTCAACATCCCTGCCAAACTAAACCTAAATCCTCTTAATGCCACCAAATGACCAGGGCAGAATCTAAGTGACAAACCTTTTTTTGGTACCACTGAACTCTGGGCTTTGCACTTGCTAGGTAAGTGTTCCATCACTCAACACACTCTCAGTCTTTAAATTGTTTTTTTTTTTTTTCTGCTTTAGTTATTTTTCAGATATAGTCTCATGCTTCTTGCCTGTGGTCAACCTTTGACTGTGATCCGCTAACCTTTACCTTCTAGGTTGCTAAGATTACAGAGATGAACCACCACACCGAGGCTTGTTGGTTGAGATAGGATCTGGCTAACATTGTGCCAGGTTTGTTCTTGAACTTTGACTCCCTTAATCTCCAGATCCTGAGTAGCTAGGATTATAGAGGCATGAACTACCAACTCTCCTACCCTAAGTGGCAGATTTGACTGCTCACCTTTTCTTATGCCTATCCTCTTCCTTTTGTAGTGAGAAGGTGTTTGTCTGGGTATCCTAGTCATATCTCAGACTGCATTCTCATGGGAATAAGCTATCACATAAAAGCCTTTCAGACTGGTCATCAATCCAGCCCTTCCATGCAGAACCTACCAGGAATCCCCCAACACCTCCCACCTTAAGAGTGGCACTAAATCTTCCTTCTTTTAAGTATTTCATTGGTCATTCAAGTGGTAAAATTGGTGTGGAAAGAGGAATAAGTTTGTGCTTTCATCAAAGCACCATTTAGGATGATGACTCTGCATTTGCTGTACAGATGGACTGGTAGAGACAATGGCACAAGTGGTCTCTAGTGGTATGAAGGTCAATTCTGGCTTGGCCACTGACTGCCTTTGTAGCCTTGCCACACTCGTAATCCCACACCATGCCTCCATTCCTTTATTTCCCAACATGAAAACTTTATAATTACATATGCTGGAAATGCAGAAAAGCCAGAGAAACCTAAATTTAAGGATGAACACGTCACAGATTCAATCATGTTTCTTTAGACTACATGTAATAACAGGCTAACAGGAGGACTGATAATAGTTAATCTCTAATTTGACAGCTTCTACGCTCATACTAATATAATAACTCCTGATTAGTTTGTCCTAGAATCTCCTCATTGTAATGGCTCACATGATTAAAAAGAAGATATATAAGGTATATTATGTATGTTTTTACGATGTTTGTTTTTATATTCTTCTGACATTAATCTCTGAGCACTGTCTATCATATTGCTGACCTCACCCATGTTTGGGGCACATTAATGGTATTTGGTTTTACTGGGCTACTTGGCTCTCACTGCTCGCCTTCCTCTTAATCCTCTACAGCCCTTAATAGATTCCACTGTCCTGGGTGCTGACACAGAACAGTAGTCATCTTCAATTTCCACTGAGCTCACTCTGATGTTGAGGGAAAGGCAATGAGTTCTGTAGAGAAAGGGAATGAAGTTAGTCTGACCCTCCTTTTCTATTTCCTTAGCCCTCTTCATCCTCCCCTCTCCTATTCTACCTTTTGTCGGGACCAGACCCAGTGTCTCACACATGCTAAGTGTATGCTCTACCTCTAAGCCAACAAGCCTGGCCTGTCTGTTTCCTTTAGTCAGAGAAATCTCCCAAGTTGTAACAGCTTTGGCCCCTTTAAAATTAATCTTCAATCTATGAGTTTTCTGAGTAAACTTCAGTCTCCTCAGATGGGATTCTTTCTCCATATTTCCTGGGGAGTATCAATATAGTTAAAGGTAACATTGAAAGAAGATAGTTGGGATGCAAGTTCCTAAGGCAACACGTAAGCTGTCAATCCTCTTAATTTAGCCTACTTCTTGGACTATCAGAAATAGTTTAGAAAGGAAGGTCTGAGGAGGTGGAGAAAGGCTACTGGCACTATGGAAATAGTCAAAGCAAGCAAGAGAGAAGTGAGGAAAGAAAATTCTAAATTATTCTCTTCATGGAACTGGCAAACAGGGTATATGGAAAGGAAATATGAGTTTGAGAACCTAATAGTTAGAGAACCTAATAAGAATTGCTGGGCCAAGAGAGGATCAGAAAAATGGCTGCAAAGCACCAGGATTAAAAGACAAATGTGCTCATAAAAAAGCTTTCAACGGAATTGACAAGCTATTTTGGTTAATTATTCAGTAGGGACAGTGGTTTCTGTTTTACAGATGGGAAAATGAAACCTGCATTCAGAAGGCGACTTGAAAATTATCATAAAGAAATAGGACCCCGCTGTTGTGATTCTCAATTCCCTGTGCACCAAATCCACACATTCCATCTTTTATGTTCTATTGTTCTCCGAACACAACCCTCTAGGATGTGGAAACTTTGATGCTCTTGGAAATTGCTTCTCTATCTATCTAATGCCAACTTCTGTGCTAGAAGAAGTTTGAAGTTCAACCCAAAGACACAGGGCTTGGCATGGTCAAATCCTCACTACAACTTCTCATTAGCTGTGTCTCCTGGGGCCACTATGGCATTCCTGAGTGTGACTCAGTCCCACCAGTCATTACTGAGGGCTCCTGATTAATCTGAACCAGGCTAGAATAAAGGCTACAATAAGATCCAAGCAAATGAAACAATACATTTGGGAGGCAGAAATAAAAAAAAATTTTTGAAAAACTTTTGAAACACAGTCTTGTTATTATTCATAACTACATCTAATACTTGTTTAGCATCTATTAAGTATTGGTGCTGGTAACTGTGCTTGACATTCATTAACTCAATTGTTTTTCCCACCAAGAGGCAGGTGCTATTTGTATTTTAATTTTAAAATATGAAATGGAATCACAGATATGTTAGTTAAGCTATTCTGTTAGATAAGAACAATTATCTCTTTTTTTTTTTTTGTCGGTCGTGGGGCTTGAACTCTGGGTCTGGGTGTTGTCCCTCACCTCTTCAACTCAAGGCGAGCGCTCTACCACTTGAGCTACAGCGCCACTTCCAGAACAATTATCTCTTTAGAAGAATAAAAATACCTGGGGGATTCTGGTACTCAGGATCTTCCAGGGGTCATAAAAAAAAATCTGGATTCAGTCACTTCAATGATCCAAGTAAAGTAAAAGTACAGATCACAATAGCAATAACATACTAAGGGTTATTTCCCATGGCAGGGGAAGATGTTAACAATGGGAAACCTGGGTGAGGGGTACATAGAAACTCTCTGTACTAGACTTACTACTTTTCTGTAAACCTAAAATTAATATTAAGCTTCTTTAAAAGTGTATCTGAATATTTAATAGAGGGAGATTTTCCTTGAGTTCACTCAGATGGAAATCTATTCTATTCCTTTTTCTGAAAGCTAGAATACTTGAAAATATCTGTGGGGCCTTCACAACCCCGGACATTTTCCATGCAGGAGAATATTAAGGTCCCCATTAGTGCTAACTTAGCTCCACAGGCTTGTGCTAGAGTTTTAAAGGCAAATTGGAAACTATTTCCTGGAACAGTGCCTCACAGCATGCCTTTTGATACTTGGATTATATTTCTTAAAGTCTGAAGAAATCTTTGCTTTTTTCCTCCCTTCTGTGAATTTTTGATGTTGAGCTGTTTCCGGTTTTCCCACACTCCTGCTTGTCACAGAGAATAAACCACAAAAATGCAGCAAAGCAAAATTTGTACAAAGGGCTGCAACTCCACCTAGGAGGCTACCACATCTTCTGCCAGGAGAGAGAGCAGTTGCTGCCCAAGCTCACCTCCCCAACAACTCCAGTCCACCAGCCAGCTACCCAGGCCACCAAGGGCCATCATCATCTCCCCACCAGTCCACCGGCTATCTCAGGGTACCGGCAATAACTTGAGAGTCCACAAACAAGGAGCATACTGGCAGGTTTAACAGTTACTTTCAACTCACTGATTCTCTGGTTACTGTGGGCCTCTCCACTCTGCAGAGGACAATGTGGCTTTAGCATGTATCCGAGGGTGACTAAGGCCTGTTGGTTGAGTTCTAGTGTGAGCCAGGCTTTATATACATTTATCTCTGTTCATATTTATCCACTGACTTACAAAGTACTCTGTCCTATTGTTACAAATGAGGAAACTGAGGCCAAGAAATTAACATAACTTGCCAAAGGTATCAGGTTAGTGGACTGTGGAGTGGGGATGTGAATGGAAGTAGTCTGGCTCCAAGGACTATACCATTAGAGATTTAACTCCTCTTTCCAGGTTGGGAGGACATACAACTTCCTTTCTATCCATCTGTTATCAGTATTCAACCACAGGCTGTAGCATTCCTCATTACTGCTCTGAAGAGATCTGCAGGCATTACAATGCCAACTCTTCTTTGAACAGTGCTTGGTACTTAGCAGGCACAGAGTAAGTATTTGCTGGATAAATGAATAATGGTAGCAATAGGATTAAAAGAGCCGTAAATAGATTCTTTTCTATTTGAATATAGAATTTGATTCACCTATTAAGAGAAAAAAACTATTTTTTTTTTTTTTGGTCTGGTTGTGGGGCCTGAACTCTGGGCCTGGGCGCTGTCCCTCAGCTCTTCAGCTCAAGGCTAGTGCTCTACCACTTGAGCCACAGTGCCACTTCCAGCTTTTTTTTTTTTCTGCTTATGTGGTGCTGAGGAATCGAACCCAGGGCCTCATGCATGCAAGGCAAGTGCTCTACCACTGAGCCACCTTCCCAGCCCTATTTTCTAGACCCTAGGATTCTTTCTTAAAACTAAAATTGAACTTAGGAAGGATAAATTATTGAGGAGCCTTAATGTGAGCAAGTATGTAAGGACCCTCTAGGGTCTATACAGCAGAAAATGCCTGCCTCCACCACATACTGCTGAAAAGTCCCTGGTTTTAACCTGGAGAAAAGTTGCTAAAAGCAGATGGCTTTAGCAGTCTGTTATAAGTTCACTAGCTAAAACAAGGGCTGGAAGTAGAGTGAAGGTGTGTGACAATAATTTGATTTGTGGAATTCTTTTTTTTTTTTTTTTTTGGTAGAAAAAACATAGACTATAAAAGGTACAAGAAATAGTGTTTCTACAGCTTGTGGATTAATGTCAATTAATTTAATTGTGTAAATGACCTTAATCTTGTCTTTCCATTCAAAGGCCTAACCTTGAATCAACAAGTTGGTCCTGGGGTTTGCTTGAGCTCAGGGCCTGGATGCTGTCCCTGAGCTTTTGTGCTCAAGACTAGCACAATATCACTCTAAGCCACAGTGCCACTTCCGCTTTTCTGGTAGTTAATTGAGGATAAGAGGCTCATGGACTTTCCTGCATAGGCTGACTTAGAACTGTGATCTTCAGATCTCAGCCTCCAAAGTAGTTAGGATTACAGGCGTGAGCCACTGGCGCCTGACCTGATGTTAAATTCTTTATGAAATTAAAATGACTTGATTTTGTATAGTAACTAAGAGAAGATACATGAAGAATACTTAAATGTTTTTCTCTAAGCTTACAGATCCTGCCAGAGGACAACTCTCTTCTGTCACCTGGAGAACCTAAAAGAGCAATGGCTAAGAATGTGGTAGAGTGCTTGCCTAGCATTCATGAAGCCCTGGTTTGATTCCTCAGTACCACAAAATCAGAAAAAGGCAGAAGTGGCACTGTGGCTCAAGTGTTAGAGTTCTAGCCTTGAGAAAAAAGTTCAGGGGCAGTGGCCAGGCCCTGAGTTCAAGGACTGGGGGAAAAAAAGAAGAGCAATAGCTATCCAGCCATAGCATTGTCAGTCACTAAAATGCTGCCATTGCTCCCAGGTGATAGCAATTTGGAGCCATGGTTGAGTCCAAAGTTAACCATTATTACCCATCAAGTATTCTGGTTTTCAATCCATGTGGTCTTAAAAACTTCATAAAAACTACCATTAGCTTAGAATTAATACAATTTTGAAGAAATTGAACAGATAATGATCAGAAAAACTTACTTGGAAGCTCTCTGGGATGTTGCCTTTCTGAGCATTTGTTTGTGATTAGATGGGGGTTTAGGGAGCAGGGAGGAGGAACTTGGAGGTGGCACCACTTTTTGTGGCAGAGTGGTTGGCTTCTGGCCACCAGCTGTGGCACTTGAAATTCTGCAGCCTGCACCATTATTCATTGTCCATAAATTGGAGCTAGGGAATGTTTGGTTGCCAAAGATCGCCTGTAAGCAAAAGAGAAAAAAAAGATTGACTGAGATTCACTTCATACCCATTTTCTGTATGTAACTAGAATCCTAAAGCCATGCAAAGAGCAAAAGAAACTATTAAAGCAGGTCTAGGATTCAGAGGAGGGAGTCTCTTGAAGCTGAGTTGTGGTGGTCTTGTTGATAGGACACTGGCCTAGAAGTCACTGGCCATGGACATAAAAAACCATTTGGTTTCACAGTCTTAGCTTCCTTTCTTGTTAAATTCAGTGAATGTTTACTGAATGTTTCCTCCTTCTGGGTATTAAGTACCAGAAACAGAGTCAAATTTGGGACAAGTCCATCCTAGCACTCTTAACTCTAGATAGTTTGAAGTTGGAAGAAAGGGAAGAAGCCATATGGCTAGGGCACTATGAGCCAACAGACTGCAGAGATGAGACCAGGACAAAAAGCAGACCATACAGGGCCTTGAGGATTGTTTTTAGAATTCTAGCATAGTAACATCCTACTGACTGAAAGACTAACATAAAATTCATATTTGATCAACTCCTTTGTACCAGTAAAGACAATAAAAAATATACTTAAGCCAGGCACCGGGGGTCACACCTGTAATCCCAGCTACTTAGGAAGCTGAGATCTGAGGATCTCAGTTGAAAGCTAGCTCCAGGCACGACAATCCATGAGACTCTTATCTCCAATAAACCACCAGAAAACTGGAAGTGGTGCTGTAGCTTAAGTGATAGAGCGCTTGCCTTGAGCTGAAGAGCTAAGGGACAGCACCCAGGCCCAGAGTTCAAGCCCCACAACCAATACCCCCCACCAAAAAATAAAATTAGGAATTGTTAAGTGTACCTTTGCTATTAGTATAGTGTTTGGGGTTTATAAAGTACCTTCTTTATACTATTTTATTAGGTATATCCCCGGGCTAGCAAGTATGCCTTTTTATAAATTTGGATGCCCTTTTATAAATTTACCAAAGTCAAAAGATAAATAGCATGCTTGGGTGCTGTCCCTCAGCTTTTCAGCTCAAGGCAAGTGCTCTACCACTTAAGCCACAGCACCACTTCCAGTTTTCTGGTGGTTTATTGGAGATAAGAGTCTCAGGGACTGTCGTGCCTAGAGCTAGCTTTGAACAGAGATCCTCAGATAGCCTCCTAAGTAGCTGGGATTACAGGTGTGAGCCCCCCAGTGCCTGGCTTAAGTGTATTTTTTATTGTCTTTACTGGTACAAAGGAGTTGATCAAATAAATAAAAATTTAAAAATATATATTATATACACACACACCACACACACACACATATATATATATATATATAATATATGCTACAAAAAGAAAATAACTTTAAAAATTGCTTACATTAATATGTGAGCAAAAAATAAAGTAAAACTACTATATGAATTCCAGTCATTATATGAATAAAAAATCAACACAAAGGTAATTTGGCAAGAGGATAGGCCTACAAATAAATGTATAAAACCTCCACTACAGATTAGGGAGGTACATAGATCTGTAGGAGGTCGAGGTATACTTTCTTCGAGTAGATACTGTACAAGTTCTTACACCTATTTACTTCATTAACAGTAGGGATTGTGTGTGTCACAAATTTTGTTACTAGTCCCTCAATATGATCAGTACTTCTGCCAATATGTATCATAAAAACATGAAGCCACATTAAGAGAAAAATAATATAATCAATGAAATACATAGTACTTTTAATTAAAAGCATTTGTGTATGAGTATGTGTATGCTGTACTGAGGCTTGAACTCAGGGCTTCAAGTTCCTGCTTGGCCTTTTTGTTCAACGCAGACACTCAACCATTCAAGCCACAACTCTACTTCTATAAAAGCATTTCTTGAAATTGGCTTCTGTTGGTAGTTATGATATGCTAAGATGGGATGAATGGAATTTTCATCATGCTAGGCCTGGTAGAATGAGATGAGAGCTCCAAAGAGATTAACCTTTTACAGGAGAAAAACAAAGGAGGGATATCAATGCTCCATAGGAAAAGTACTCATTGCCTTACTCATGTAACTGTAATCCCTCTGTACAGTATCTTTACAATAAAAATAGTAAAAAAGATTAACCTTTTAGTTAGGTGTCACTAATATTATTTTTGTCCTTTATATATTTTCATTGTTATTAATTTGTTTTGGTGCTGATCCTGGGGATTGAACCACAATCTTCAGATCCAAGCCTCCTGAGTAGCTAGGATTACAGGCATAATCAACCAGATCTCAGCTCAATTTTAATTTTTTCAGATTCAAAAGATGAATTAGGAAGATTCATAAAAATGTCCACTGGCCCTTCTCATGCCTTGGGATGTCCCATTTCCAAGAAATGAGTCCAGAGGTCTGGGGAGGCAGAAATAAGAAGAATGGAGGGATCTCATGTGGAGATCTTTGATTAAAATGCTTGACAAAAAAATAGGTGATTTGATAGTTAAGAGGATCTGAGCACTTTTAAACCGAATGCTCCCCCACTTCAGCAAACTACCTGAAGGATAAACGAAAGGACTTTATTAATTCTTCTTCATGTCTGACCCAAAAAGACTTTTTTAAAAAAACATGTGAATATAAGAAGGTTTTTTAGTGGAAGGCCATGGAGTCCAGATTGCTTAGCAAACTTCTATGGTACAGGCACTAAAGCTCCCAGAGATAAGCCAAGCTTCTGGGACTAGTTCTGATACAAACCCCTTCTTTTCAACTTCAGTTTCCCTACCTAAGGTCCCAAAACCTATGGGAGAGGATCAACAGGCAGGAGGAAGGGAGGCGGGAATGTGCTGTCCCAGGGGATGCCTCGTGTAAGAAAGCAAGAAGACCAAAGTCAGAATGAGGGCTGAAGAAATCAGATGTAAGAACACTATGCTTCCTCCTCCTCCCATTTCTTTTCCTTTCTTTCCTTTTTCTTCCCATCCTCTCTTTGTTTGTGGTGCTAGAGATTGAACCCAGAGCCTTGCACATGATAAGCAGGTACTCCACTAATGAGCTACATTCCATCTACAAAACACTCTTCAGTGAGGAATATCTGTAATGTTGGGAGGAAATTGCTATCAATAAGAACTACTCAAAAAATGTACCATGGAGACAACTTAACTAAAACCATATTTCCAAATTCATCAATTTTTTCTTTTTATCAAAATCTTTATGGGATATCTAAGTGACAGAAAGAAGAAAGAGGAGAAAGGACAAGTTTTGAGAACCATGTTTATAATAAGCACCTATTCTAATTAAAAGAAGGGAAACCATACACACACACACACACACACACACAACACACTAATACATACACACACACACACACACACACACACACACACACACACACACACACATGTATTTGCACAGGGCAATTCTGGTAGGATATACCAAAAAATAGTAATTTCTATGGCAAAGAACTCTTTAGGGGTCAAGGTAGATAGAAGTGGGATTAATACTTTGCTATTAATAAATCTATATCTTAAATTTTATACTCTGTAGTTACTTATTATAAAAACATATCAATTATTTTAAAAAGAGTTGTGATAGCATGTAAGCAGGTAACAAATGAGCTCTGAACAGAGTGAAAATAACTAGGTGAAGCCCCAGTTTCAACCAGTGGGTTGAATTTGCTACAGACTAGATTTGAAGAAGAGACTATTTAGTCTTGGCTACAAGAGGCAGAGACCCAGGCTAAAATGGAAAGAACATGATTTTTTTTTTTTTGTCGTCAAATGTGCCTGGGCTCAAAGAGAAGTCTGGTTACTCACAAACTGGGTGATCTACTCAAGTAAATTAACCTCTTTGAGCTTCAGCTTTGCTTTCTCATAAGCAATTATAACTGCTCTGCTGGATTGTGGGATATTGAAGGAAGTTCAGTCTAATCCAGCATTCCATTAAGGTTTCTTGAAATAAGTTGGAGCACCAGGCGCACAATGGATACCCAACAATTTTTCCATTCCTTCCCAAACCTCCCCCTCATTAACTGAAGGATGGGATGGCATACAAGCCTACCTAGAAGTAATCCTTTGTGAATGGTAGTTGGTTATGCATTTTTCCAACATCTTTTTCTGGTCTTACAGTGATACTCACTAGCTATGAAAGCAAACTCTTAAAATAAAAACATATGTTTAGGATCCCAGATAATTTACTCAATCCTCTCTTGCAGAAATATTTTTCCCTCTCCTGAACCCTTATAAAATTTTATTTGCATGTCTTATCACAGCTTAGCCATTCTCCCTTTGCACTATAACCACTGATGAATGTACTGCTCTTCTGTACAACCCAAGTGGAAATGAGTGGTTTGTACATGGTTGTGCCCAGGTGCTAAATAAACATTACGGAGAGACCAGCAAAATATCCCAACTATTATAATTTGTTAAAGCAATAACTCAAATTTCTATACAAGAAGACAGGCAAATGTGTGCTAATATACAGATGTAATTTTTAAATAGCACCATTCTCTGGATTTTGAATAGTAACTATTGCATTATTTTAAATAAGCTCTTGGTAGATCCTAAGCAAAAATAAGTTCCTCTTTCTAAAGGTGTAAATCTTGTGTGAAGACCTTAAACTTTGATATTCTATGTAAAGTCAATCCTTAATTTTACCTAACATGTTAACTGAAGTAAGTTAGGACTTAGTGCTTAGGAGACTGACACTTGCCCGGATACTATCCTTTTACCTGTTCTTCCTAAATTTTGATTCTGTTTTAGATAATAATGTATGCTTAGCTTGAAACAACAACACAATCTACTCTCTTTTGTCTTTAGAGATAATCATATGACACAGTTATAGCACATGAGATGTTTTAGGAAAACTCTTAAAGAAAGCTTACTTGGTTGGTTCCTATCTTTTTTCCCTTACAGTTCTTCCTAATGGAGAACACAGAATTAGCTAGAGATGGGTCAGGCCCAGAATGAAAGGATTCACTGTAGAGGACAGAGACAGAAGGAAAAGTAAGTTTCTGATGTCACCATGGAGTCTGAAAGAACCTAGCTTCAGGTTTCTAATCATATGAGAAAACCCCCTGTAACTTGT